ACATGCTATCTCCAATGCTCCGGATACCCTGACACCCAACACAGTTGCCGAGCTCCGGGTCACCGAGTCCCGAAGCCCGAGTCCCGAGTCCCGAATTTCGGAGTTCGGGGTTCGGTGACCCGGAGCTCGGCAACTGTGTTGGGTGTCAGGGTATCCGGAGCATTGGATCCCGAGTCCCGAATTTCGGAGTTCGGGGTTCGGTGACCCGGAGCTCGGCAACTGTGTTGGGTGTCAGGGTATCCTGAGCATTGGAGATCAGCATGTGTCAGCCAAACATGAACCATGAAACGCAAAATACTGACACATGCTATCTCCAATGCTCCGCATACCCTGACACCCAACACAGTTGCCGAGCTCCGGGTCGCCGAACCCCGAACTCCGAAATTCGGGACTCGGGACCTGGGCTTCCGGGACTCGGGTGCAAGATTTTTGAATGCATAGAATATTTTACATCTTGTATACAATGAACACTGAATGGGACTACACTCCTTTGCCTTTCCTCAATTTCTCTAACATGTCAGTGTACATCTTCACCTCTGCCATCTTGGCTTTGATGCCCTCATCTTGCTCCTCCATCAATGCTTCCATGCAGTTCTTTAATCCACCTCAGTCCCATAAGTGGTGGAGTCGAAGTGTTTCTCAACTTCTCTGGAAGAACCAAAGCATCATCCTCAACATTAAGCTAGAACAGATAAGTCATCAATCAAGGCAATTCAGCTAACATCTTACCGCCCAATACTGGTAGTGAGAGACGCAGGAAGCCATTATTTCATCCCACTGCCATGGTTGATCCGGGATTGTGGTGTTTCCCATCCACCATGGACATGTATATGCAAACACAATCCGGGACGGATGTCCTGCAATTGCCTCATCATCAAATGAAAGGAGGTGGAATGAAAAGATGTCGTCCGGAACCGTGTTCCAGGTTAGCATGGGATACAACTTAAGGATATAAGCGACAGGGACCGGAAGAACCGACACGATATTCTGTGAAGCTGAGTACTGCAGGAGTGGTGTGACAAAAGTCTGCTCAAATTTTTAGCATTGACCAACAAAGTCATCAGGGCAGTGGTAACATACATTCATCTCCCATTGCAGCCCAGCTTTAAAATACTTTATCCGGTCAGAAGATAGACCATTGTTGGCAGCTTCCGTCTGATATTGAGAGATGCATGCACGGACCCGCGATCCAGCCATTGCCAATGTGCAGGAAATAGTTCCAAGGCTCAGCTTCAGGGGTCGGTAATGGCTTCCGGCATTCAGAGTGCCAGAAGTGGATGCAGGAGTTGCAGGCATGGCTAATACAGGACTATGGCGCTGGCAATGCAAGTGAAAGATGGTGAAGATGTGAAGATAAGAATCACTGATGGATGGATACGAAATTCAAACTCCGACATGGGCTGACCCGGACAATTCCCGGGCCTCAATTATGTATGTGGAAAAAGGGACTTCATGAGAAAACAATGTTCATTCATCTCCAGCCTCTATCAACACGTTTTGTAGGTCTTGAAAAGCTGCCTGCGCATCCTGTGCGAGCAATGAATACATTCGCGATTGCCTTCTGGCATAGCATCCGTGACCCGGAAGGCGTTTCTCCAATGATTCCTGCATGTGGTCGCCCCATTGGGTTGCTTTCCACAAAAAGAACTTACATGTCCAATCCATCTCCAATTTGACCAATATCATTTCTTCCCTCCATCGATCTCGTAGTGCCTTTGCCCGCAGCCAATGGACTCGGTAAACTTGGCATGGGTCCAGTCAGGTAACCGTGGGATATGACATGCAAGCAGGAACTCACATTCCTCATTCCTGTTAAGAACGTGCTCAAGGGTCGGATCCGAAGGGCTTGGCTTCAGCTCGTGCGCTGCGCCCCTTACCCGAGTACGTGCCCCTAACTTCCGAGGGTTGTTGAACGATGTCCGAAGGTTACCGGACGATGTCCGGAGGGCGTCGGGCGATGTCCGGAGTCCGATGTCCGATGCGCGGGAATTCCGGCGGACGTTCGGAAACAAGAGATAAGACTAATCCGGACGAAGTCCGAACTAGAAAGGAAACAGTGGAGGACTACCAGAGGTAGAGGCGGAGGTGTCAAGTCTATAGGAGTCGATCCTAAGACGAGCGGAGGTCGACGAGAGAGAAACTCAAGTCGGACGGAGGAGAGAATGAGCAGAGTCTAATATGATATTCGAACTGAGGAAACTACAGAGATTGTACAGGGGTTTATATACTACTGAGGACATAACGGAGAATAGTAAGTGCAGTGCGAAGCTATGTAAAGCTATGAAGAAAACATATGGTACGACTATCACTAGTCTATCGGAACTTAGTAAAATGAAGACAGAGATGAATGAGGAACGGAAAATAAAGCGTACTAACTGATAAGGGAAATACCAAAGGGATAAGGCGCGGAAGTTAGACGCGGGTCGGATCCGGACGATACATAGAAGTCGGCCGGATCCGGAAATCCGGAAATGATGAGTGTGATAGGTCCGGGTCCGGAACGCGGGATATGACAATTCCACAATTGATCAGGACCCCCGAGGTCGACTTCAACAGACCAAAACCAAGCCAAAGATTCATTTCGTTGACCTCGGGCATTTGGGTCGCCCACTGCAGTGCTGATTTTGAGTTGCTCGCGAAGCAGGGGTTTGTATTTCTGAAGCTGGTCTTGCCCCGGCTCAAGTTTCATCATTTGCTTCCTGGTCTTTGTATATATGCTGGCATGGAGGGAGACTGCCTGCTGCACCGACGTCACCTGGGACCAAGCTCGAGTTTTCAGGGCCTGGGATTTGGCCTGCCGAACGGTTGTTCGGAACAGGATGGCCTTGTTGCAAAGGTAAATGCGGAGATTGTGAAGGGCATCATTGGCCTGCCCTTCACGAAGAGACATCTCCAGGGGAATCAGATCCTCTGCCATGCATCGTCTGCATCTATCAACACCCAGGTTTGATGGCAACGGGATTACAGTGAGCTCGGGAGAGTTTGTCCATGTATGAGATGTCTCTGTGAAATCCGCCGGGTCATCATCGAGATCATCTAGAATGTCTACGTTCAAGTCCTCAGGTTCATCATCTGCATCAAATCCCTCCCCGAGATGTGTTAGAGCAGACCAAGCAAATCCATCTATCTGGCCTTGGAGCCGATCGCGTTGACGGGCAATGTCTAATCTCTGTGTCTCAGTGGATCTTCTTCCAATCCTTCGGACCTCGATGAGCAATGCAATCTGAGCCTCTTCAATTGCTAACCCTGTTGATATCCACATCGCCACAGATCTGCGAGAGGGTGCTGCATTGCGGGCGTTACCCTCCTCTAATAATCTAAGCTCGATCTCCTTTTTGCTTGGTGCTGAGTGCAATATTAATTCCGACCTCGATGGAGACAATGGAACTCAACGTACCCTTTTTTATATTGATCTCATATTCATCCATCGCCGCAGGATCATTCAATCTGCTTGACTGAGCTATCCTCTCCCTGGCTAACCATTCTGTCTTCAAATGTGAGGGTGCTGCTTCATCGAGTCTGTCGAATGCCTTTCCACTTTCCGAGATGCCATTCCTCGCCAGCTTGTATTTCCGGCATAGAGTCCTTTTCATGCGAATCATCTTGCAGAAATTGGAGTCATTCATCTGATAATCAAGGCATTCCTTTCGGTGGGGAGATGACATTCCCCGAGCAGCAGGGGAAATCAGATTGAGCCGTGCCCATAGCGTCTCCATGATCTCTCCATCGATCCGACCAATGCCTTCAATAAAGTTAGAAGCATATCGGACATAGCAGCTGTCCTGATGGCCATGAATGTGCCACAACCCAATTCCGGGAATGATGGTTAGTTGTGGTGCCATGTCTAGAAATCGACTTCGATCCACCCGAACCCGAAAGTGTTTGTTGTATTGACAATTAATATCATAGAAGGTGACAGCCCTGGTGATGCCTTCCATGTTGTGCCGGGAAGCCTCGCAAAGGGCGTAGTCCATGTTCATTTGTCTGCAAGTGACCCATGGTTAACTCGTGAATGAGGAATGGTGGATGTGGCTTGCCTTTCACCTTTCTGAAAATCCACCATGGAGTGAGGGACAAAGCAACCGTGTCTGGCACAGGCAACTCCCCCGATACCGGTGGACTCCAGCTTGTGCCGAGCAGCATTAGCTTGATTTACTGCCCGGTGGTTGTTGCAGCTTGATTTTTCCACCGTGTCAGCAGCCTCTGCCAGATGCATTTTATACCGGTCCTTTCCTACCATGAATCCAAGCCCATCGGATAGCCAAACTTCATCGAATGGCTTAATGGGATGCAGATGTTCGGCTTTGAAATTTCCATCCATCACAAATGACCGGGTGTATTTCCAGCTTGGATCGCTAGTATTATTATGGAGGCCACATTGGTTGAGAATAGGACTCACTCATCAAGCGATTCATCCTCTGACAACAGCACATTAATCCCTGGCTGAGGACACGCCGGGCAAAATAATGCGAGTTCTCCTGTGCTCGGGTTATCAGAACGATGGCCAAAGCCATGCCATTTCATTGTCTTCAACTGCCTCCACTGTCGAGCGACCCTCATGAGCTCTCTGTATCGGTCCTTGCAATGTGCTTTGTCAATATGATGTCCAGTAGATGAAGAGGGTAAGGCATTACCGGAACAAGGTGTGGAAACATGCTGGAGGTCATTCGCCGGAGCTTGCTGTAATAGTTCATCGCCGAGGTGCCGCATTCAAGGCTGTCCAGTAGAAAATCATTGAGCACTCTGAAGGTGAACACAGTCTTTGGCCTGTTGAAAGATGCAGGGAAAAATCCGTGTCGAAACATTTGAATGTCCGGACTCATGGCATTCGGACATTCACAACATCGAATCTCCAGGCGATGAACTCCGGACTTGTCTACAATGACCATGGTGTTTTCCTTTGGCTGGAACTCGGGTCCGGACACAAATGGCAGATCTTCAGGCTCGAGCAGGTCTTCAGGTTCATCTTCTTCAAACAAATTCCACCGATCAGTGACCTCCGGACATTGTTTGCCATCATGGCCAAGGTGTATAATGAGTCCCACATGAGCGAGACAACTCCGCTCAAAGAATCGCCCATTCCATTGACTGATCCAGTGGAAAGGATTGCTACGATGTTGACTCCTGCAACAGCCCGTGCAATAGAGTGGCTCGCCAAGACAATCTTGACATTTGTACACCCCATCCG